ATAACATTTTTAGTAGCCTCGCGAAATTTCCAAAATTTTGCACAGTGTTTTATTAATGTAGCTAATGATTTCTAAAATTTGAATGCTTCGTTACTATTCTCATTTAAGTGTTCATACAACTTTAAGTCGTTTTTCACATTTTTGCTACAAACAAAATTCTTTCTCTTTATACAACGATAAGATGCCCATTTTCGATACCGTTATAAAAATTACCAAAATTTGGTGTACCGCATTCCTTGGATAGATCACCGATGCAATGGGCGGTGGGACGCAAGCGCGGCAGCGATGCAATCAAATTAATAAGTCGCGGAAACAAAACCTCGTTGACAGTAGGATAGGGTAGTTCGACCGTTCGAACGTACCGGGAGCGGTTTGCTCAATCGTCGAAATTGAGTATTACGGATTATCGAGGAGGGATAGCAAACCGAGTTGGAAAAAAAAAAACGAGAGCGCGAGAGAGGGGAGGAAAAAACGCCAAAAAACCGAACAAAGGGATCGTAGGATTTCGGACGGAGGGACGTGTCTCTTTCGCTAATTGATTCGACGGGGGATATGGCGCGTGTGTCCGGTGTCAGGAGGCGGACGAGAGGCCCGGCCGACTGGCTCGCTGACCCTGCACTTCATGATGAAATCGAATGAAACATAGATGATGCTATCGACGTGGGGCAGAAGCATGAACGCGCGCGATCAGGTCCGGCTCGTTAATTCATAAATGCATCGTATGGTGCGTGCGGTGCGGTGCAAAATGCATTTGTAGGATGCCGGCGGCGGACGGCCCGGAACGGTTCCGCGCTACCTGTCCGACCTGCGCGCGGATAATCGAGGGAACGCGCGCGTCCCTGAAATCCATGAACTTAATCGGCGCAAAAGCGGATTATTTAAAAAGCTGGTTCGCTTGGTCGACCAATTCGTTTGGAAATCATTTATTAAACGAGGCGGCGCGGCGCGCGGCAGGACGGGCCACGCGATACGTGTAACTTTATTCACGGCTTGTCCCGATCATTTAATTTCGCGCTGCGAACGCTTAATATCCGCTCGGTCTCTTGAACTAACGCGCGACCCGCGCGGCCGATTGCGGTTTCGGTCGAGAGTTGAAATAATTAACGCGGAAAAAAGCGAGAGCCAGTTATGACTTCCAGTGATTTCATTTCAATAAATGTCGTAAGAGTAAATTAAAAAGAACGTCGGACGTTACGTGGGATGATTGAAAAGAGGATAGAGAGGAAAATGAATGTGACAGAGGCACGGATCGAATCACGTTCGATTTTGGGGACTTAGTATCTTTCTCCCTGGCCGACGGACGATGATTTCTGATTAACAGCCAGTTGTTTCGAATGCTAGGTCGGGGCTACCGGGCGGACATCGAGTAATGACTCTGGGGGTGGCCGGGATGCGAGGGAACCTCGCGGAGGGTTGAACGGCGGTAGGCTGGGCGCAGGGGAGGGCAGGGGGTCCAGGCCAGTTGATGACGACGATGATGATTACAATAACCGTGCTTTTAGAGGGTCCGAAATCACGGCGCGCTTCTCTATCTCATTCCCTGCCCTCCCCTTTCTCTCTCGCTTATGCTACGCCAGATAATTTACTGGCTGCTTTTTCTACCAACTTACAAAGCGGACTACCACTGACGATGACACTCGAAACCTCAAAACTGACTCCTTTCTATTGGCTCGGTTAATAGCTCCGGCCGTCGAGCTTTGATCATGCGGATGATCTCTTGATTGAAACCTAGCCACAGTTACTTTTTTTCACCGGCACAGAAGATTAATAAAAATTTCGATTTATTCTCGTTGGCAATTTTTTTACAATCTCATGTTATCGTCAGAAGCGTGCGTCATTGTTAATCGGATGGAATCGCGATTGAGCTTTGGAACGAATTAGGGGAACTGGATGAGTTGTATAGCACTCACCTCTGCCGCTTCTGCCGACGAACCTCAGGTCGTTGAACTTGGCGACTTGGTTCTTCATCAAGGCAGTGGAATTTCTTAGTTCAGCGCAACAGTTTTCGTCGTTACCCGCCCTCACTGTCACCACAGTCCCATCGCCGACCTCGCCCAAGGCGACAACTTTGAACGCAACCGGAAGCGTCTTGTTGGACCGCCAGTGAGTCGGCAGTTGACTGCAGAGAAAGTACGGCGATCCTGCAACCAAGATAAAGAGAAAACGTATTTCAACTAAAAAGATCAATTAACAAGTCCTCTAAGCTTAATACCCAAGTTCTACTTAGATATAGTAAACGACCCAATTTTTTTTCACGTCACAATTGCTAATTACTTGATTTTTTTTTTGTAGAACTTTAATCTTAATCAGTGAGTAGAAATTATAATCAAGAATTGGGACATTCACTGCAACAGTTGGGAAAATATCTCTTTGGTATTTCTGTACTGGCTTTCATTATATCAATTTATAAAGGATTAGTAACAATTAGAAGACTAATATTACAAATAGTATCGAAATCATTATTTCATATAACAGTTAAATCTCAATTTATGTAAACATGAAGTATTCACGTGTATCTAAATGAATAAAATAATCGAAGGGCAGCTTAATTAATCTTCTTAAATAAGTAGCTCTAATCCAATTAACGCAACAACATTAAATTTCATATTT